AAAAAAACAAAATAAAATAAAAACAAAACAAAACAAAACCAAATAAAATAAAAAATTCCAACCCAAAGAGCTCGAACATACAAAACCGAGTACATTTCGCCCAACGCGAGGCTCGAAGAGGTCTTAATCGAGTACATCATTTTAACTTTAAACGGAAATACGACCCAATAGAAAAAGGGGATAAGGAATCGAGTATAGCTGATTGGTTGAATTAAATGTAGCGCCCTACAGTCGAAGTTCTATGAATGAAGCATAAGCCGGCACTAACTCTATCTCTCTCGCACACGTCTCTCCGATTGCCGTTGATAAAGACAAAATGACAGTTTGGCCACAGCTTAATGAGCTGTGGTTTGGCAGTCCAGTAGTTTATAAGGTCAATTGTCAAGGTCTATGGTATTAAAATGAGTGTTTGGTATTTTGTTGTATATTACTTATATTAGTAATATTAATATTACTGATAAGTGATACTGATAGTAGTGATAGTTAAAAATGGATAAAGCGCAAATTTCAGCGGTTTTGCAAATTCTCAAAAAATATAATTTAAAGGTAAATAGTTTTTAGGATGGTACAAGTATACAGATAAATATTTTAAACAAAATTGTTTTTGTACTGTTAGGGCACTGAAGATTTCTTACGTAAAGAAGCTAACTTTGCGGATAATGTTGATGACCACGTTCTTCAGCAAGATTCCTCTGTAAACAGTGTTTTGACTGGATATAAAAGTGATGGTGATCCAGAAACATATGAAGCTTCTTATCTCGAATTGAAATATTTTGTGGAAGGAACATTAGACATTTATAAACATGAACTAGGAACTATTTTATATCCTGTATTTGTACATATGTACTTAGAATTGGTATACAATGGACATACAGAGAAAGCTATTTCCTTAATGAAGAAATTTGGACCAGAACAAGATTCTTACTATCAGGATGACTTAAGAAAATTAGCTCTGGTTATAAAACGAGATCATATGAATGGAAATGAATTAGCAGATACATTCAAATCCAACCAATTTATTATTAGAATATCTAGAGATACTTTATCATTATTAAAGCGACATCTGAATGAAAAGAAGGCTTCTGTTTTACTTAACATCATTCAAGAACATTTATATTTTGATATGTATGAAGGTGTAGCTCGAAATAAAAAACAAATTGATGCTACATCTGGAGCCATTGGAGGAGAAGCTAAAAGACAAGGTACCATCTTTAAATAATGATATACAGTGACATAAGTAGAATCTGAACCACTAACCGCAGCCAGCAGGGGGGGGGGGGGTGACAGAGGTGTCCACTACAGAAAAAGTATTACAAAAGTTGATTAAAAAAGTTGCTTCGAATTTGTAAATAATTACCTATTTTTAAAATTTTATTCAATTTTTTAAAGAGAATCGTGCTGAAATAAATAGTTCTACCTAATGTTGCTTAAAAAAATAAATCAATATTTTGCTTGTTTTTCAAGATACAGTAAAATCTTCAAAATTCCTTTGCATATAAGTGTATATATTTATAAATTTTAACATGGGTGTGAAAACAGCCACGCTTTTCCAGCCACGATTTTACGATGTGGCAACACTGCACACTGTAGACGAACGGTCCACCTCTAAAAAGATGCTTAGAAAATCAAGGTCACCGACCACGAGGAGAGGCCAGAATGAAACATTTTGTAATCACTGCATTGAGTTATTGCGAACAATAAACCTAAGTAATATCTTTGTGTCCGAGTGGCAGGTAATTTGTTATTAACATAAAAATTGCAAAATAAAAATATTGCAAAAAAATGCTCTGCAAACAATTATCTAACGTAAATTGGGCAAAAATAAACACTTTTTGTCTCTTAACATTTTTTCGTAGAACGCTTCCTTTTCGAGCTAGGGGCGATTTAAGGTCGAAAAATGGCTAAAAGTTGCCAACTTTAAAAATTCATATCTCAGCTCCTAAGGCGCAAAATGATCCTCAAGACTTATACTTTAATGTAGTATTGTTTTAAAACCCGCCCCTTTTTTTAACCCGTTAAATTTTCAGTTGAATTTTGGCTCCTAGTGCCCACGCGCCACCCCTACGTATCGCCATTGTAGATATAGCGCTGTCGTGCATATAATCGAATAATCGCTATTTATTCATTACTTTTTACAATTTTTACTATTTAGTATTTCTAACACTCATACACATTTTCAAACTCATCAAATATTGTATATCATAATTATTTATAAGATTAATAATATGAATATCATATTTAAATGGAAAATAATATGTATTACGTTACAAATATATTGATTTATATTTATAACTGTATCTTCATTAATGTAGCTTCAACAATAATAACTATATATAACTATATTTATATCAAAAAATTATTTAGAACTAGAATATAAAATGTTATAAAAGGATACGCATAGATAGTCAACCAAAATATTAACTAACCGAGTTTTCGCGAACGTGCGCTTATGCGAATTACTTGTTATAACTTGTTTAAACAAGCGCAATGGATTAGACTGCAGCGATCGGGTGTCGCATGGATCATTAGTTTATTGTCTGGCATCAGGCAATAACAGTGAACATTTGACAAATAATGTATAAAAAATAAATAATACATTTTCTACAATATTCATTTGTGCTGTCATAGTGCAACAATCCTTTATTAGTCTGTAAACAATCATGCAACGTATGTGAATATTCAATGTTGTATAAAACTGCAGGTAAGTTTTCGAAAAATATTCTTGTGCTATTCGTTATTTAATACAATATTTATTATTCCCAATAGCTAGTATGTACATGATAGTATAGTAAATATCGAATCATCATGATACCAATACCATCATCAATACCTCCGGCAGAGCCTGTATTGTTACAACATGTTATGCGTGTTAAATGGCAAATCAATGAATGGTCTCAAGCAAGATCTGCAAGCATAACATCCTTCGACCCAACACAATATGGCTGGATATTAAAAAATAATGTATTGTGCTACAATTATTTTGAAGGAGATACGGCCATGGAAATGTTACAAAAATTCATATGTTCCTGCAGTGGAAAGTTACCCTGCAGCGATGAAGACATTTGTTCTTGCTTATCACAAGGCTTCAAATGTTGCGATCTTTGCAATTGCTCTATAAAATGTCAAAATGCAGAAATACAAACTGATGATACTGATTCGGAGACTGAAAATTGATTTTTTATTAAATAGTTAAGTTTATATTTAAATGTAAATATATTTTTTTGTATTAATAAATACCTTTGATATATGCATTTTTTGTAATGTTTAATTAATTTATTTTTCATTTAAATATCATATTCATATTATTAAATCTTATAAATAATTATATGATATACAATATTTGATGAATTTGAAAATATGTATGAGTGTTAGAAATACTAAATAGTAAAAATTGTAACAAGTAATGAATGAATAGCGTTTATTCGATTATATGCACGACAGCGCTATATCTATATATAGCGATACGTAGGGGTGGCGCGTGGGCACTAGCGGCCGAAATTCAGCTGCAAATTTAACGGGTTAAAAAAAAGGGGCTGGTTTAAAAAAAAAACTACATTAAAGTATAAGTCTCGAGGATCATTTTGCGCTTTTGAACGTTCCGAAAGCTTTGGTAGGAGCTGAGATATGAATTTTTAAAGTTGGCAACTTTTAGCCATTTTTCGACCTTAAATCGCCCCTAGCTCGAAAAGGAAGCGTTCTACGAAAAAATGTCAAGAGACAAAAAGTGTTTATTTTTGCCCAATTTACCTTAGAAAATTGTTTGCAGAGCGTTTTTTTGCAATATTTTTATTTTGCAACTTTTTGGTAATAACAAATTACCTGCCACTCGGACACAAAGATGTTACTTAGGTTTTTTGTTCGCAATAACTCAATGCATCGATTACAAAAGGTTTCATTCTGGCCTCTCCTCATGGTCAGTGACCTTCATTTTCTAAGCATCTTTTTAGGGGTGGACCGTTCGTCTATGTAACATGTACATGTATTTAAAGTTGCAGGGAGCAGAAAAAACATATGAATATAGATAAAAAAAATTACAGTTCAATTATTATAACCTGACAGTGAGATTTGCTCTGGAGGAAATATTCGTTACAAGTCCCTCTTTAATCCTGATTAGACATAAGTCAGTGTTGGGCCGTAATAAGGGGCCAGGAAAAAAAAATAAGAATATACGTAAAAAAATTGCTGTTCTCCTATTATGATCCGTCAGTGAAATTTTCTAGGTGGGAAATATTCGTATCGGCCCGTAATAAGGTGTTAGGAACAAAAACGAATATAGGTAAAAATTACAGTTCAGTTATTATGATCTGTCAGTGAAATTTTAATAAGGGACCAGGAAAAAAAAATAAGAATATACGTAAGAAAATTGCTGTTCTCCTATTAAGATCCGTCAGTGAAATTTTCTAGCTAGGGAATATTCGTAACAAATCCCTCTTCAATTCTGATTAGACAGAAGTCAGTGTCGGGCCGTAATAAGGGAGCAGAAGAAAACACGTATACAGTGTGGCTACGATTTAGGTGACACAGGCTTATTACTCAGGTGTTAATTGATGAATCCTTTTCAAAGTTTAACCACTTATGAAGACCAATGGGGTGGACATTTGAGAATCATTAAACTTACATATATCCATAGGTGTGCGTTAGGGGAAATAAGAGAAACAAATTTCCTATACAACCCTGTATACGATTTGGATGAAACTTGACATGGGTATATTTTCGATGATACTGATTAAGACTAAGGCATCAGCATTTCCGTATTTTATTCGCTAATAAAAAATACCGAAAAATCGATCCCCTTTTAATTTCCCCTAACGCACACCTATGGATATATGTAAGTTTAATGATCCTCAAATGTGCACCCCATTGGTCTGCATAAGTGGTTAAAATTTGAAAAGGATTCGTCAATTAACACCCGAGTTATAGGCCTGTGTCACCTAAATCATTTACATTTGTATTAAATGAATTTTCTGTACAACCCTGTATACGATTTGGATGAAACTTGACATGGGTATATTTTCGATGATACTGATTAAGACTAAGGCATCAGCATTTCCGTATTTTATTCGCTAATAAAAAATACCCAAAAATTGATCCCCTTTTAATTTCCCCTAGCGCACACCTATGGATATATGTAAGTTTAATGATACTCAAATGTGCACCCCATTGGTCTGTATAAGTGGTTAAAATTTACAAAGGATTCATCAATTAACACCTGAATTATAGGCCTGTGTCACCTAAACAGACCTGGACCTGGACAGACACCAACTTTGGTTTTTTAAATGGAAACACACATTTTTTATATTGTTTTCGGATTCTACATAAAAAATAAAGGGTACTTTGTGTAGAATAGTTCTATTCAAATATTCACAGTTTTTGAGATATCTCGCTTGAAAGGTTTTTCTAGTCGATATTGGTTGCTTACATTTTCTGATACTGACAGGTTATACTAATAGCTACTAAGCCCATTTTTTTATCAGATGTTTAGTAAGGATGACTCTTCCGAATCATGCTCCAAAAACTGGCCTGCGTTATACAGGGTGACCAAAATATCATGTCAAAATTGCCAATTGAAAAATTGAAAAATCTCGATTTTTTTAAATGCAACGCCCTGTATATTTTCATACCATGAGATGCAGAATTAAATTCTCTACAACTTTGCTATACCTGCTCCTATACCAAAATTCATTAGTTTTTCATGAAATCTCATTTCTATGAAAAAATGCGAAGTTTACAAATAGCTTATATGTAAAATAACGTAGTAGGCTCCTGTCAAATGATAATCTGGAAAATTTTCGATTCACATAAGGTTTAATAGAAAGAAAGGTTTAATAGAAGAAGAGAAGCCCATGGTAACTGTTTATTGGCAAGTCGTATTTACCAAGCTAATAATCCAGATTTACAAAGATATCCTCGTACAAAGTGTTTTGTAAAACTGAAGGAGAGGTTTGAAAGAACGGCAAATGCAAATTATGAGAAGACAACAAGAACACACGCATGTGGTAATCAGGATAGTCAAATTGACATTTTGGAATGTGCAGTCCAAAATCCATCTACAAGTGTCAGAGAAATTAGTGATGAAATTAGTATTTCCAAAAGTGTGGTTAATAGAACGTTAAAGAAAAACAACTTCCACCCCTATCATTCTGAGCATCACCAATTCTTAACACAGCAAGATTTTCAGAAGCGAGTACAGTTTTGTGAGTGG